AAAGCTGGGCTTACTATGCAACCCTGTCTCACACCACTAGAAGTGGAAAACTCTTCTGTTCTACCAGATGAAGTTTTAATACAAGCCTTTACAGAAGAGTACATATTACGAATGACGTTAAACAAGTTTCCATGACAACCTTTAGTAAGCAGTACATATAACAATTTCTTTCTATCAACGTAATCAAAAGCTTTTTTAAAATCGATAAAAGCACAATAGAATCTACCTTTCGGCTTCCATAAATATTTTGAACACAATGCTTGCAATATGAATAGGTTATCAACTGTTGAGTAATTTTGGCGGAAACCGGCTTGACATTCTGATAAAAGATCATTTATATCTAACTCAATTCTAAGGCGCTTTTCTATGACAATAGTGAACAATGTACCTGTGACATTCAGAATAGAAATACCTCTATAATTGTTGGGGTCGGAACGTTTACCCGACTTAAACAAAGGCAAAATCATTACTATATTCCATGATTCTGGAAAATCGCCAGTAATTAAGACTCTATTAAAAAGAAGTTTCAAATAAGGTACAATAAAATTTCCCGACATCTTGAAAACTTCAGGGGGTATTTCATCCTCACCTGCAGATTTACCACTTTTTAAACTCTTCAGAGCATCGACTATTTCCTTATCGGTTATTTCACCTGACAAAAGATCATCCGTGAAAGGCAAATTGTTACAGTCCTCACAAGAGTGTGAGTTAATATATTGAGAGACAAAACAATCAAAATCGTTTACATCAATATTTTGAATTGCAACTTTCGGATTTAACAAATTATTGAAATAATCGTACCAAGTATCAGGAGACATCGAATAACTTGAAACATTTCCACGTATAACTTTCTTTAATGTCTTCCAAAAACTCTTCCAATCTCCATGTTCAGCAGACCTCTTTATATCATCACATATTTTGGTATTATAAGAACGCTTCTTCTTATCACAACATCTCTTATATTCAGTTTTGGCATCCACATACAACTTTAAGTTTAAGTAACATTCAAATCTTCTGAACTTGTTCAATAGAAAATATTTTCTCGTTTTTAATTTACTACAATCCTTATCAAACCAAGGTGGTTGCTGTGAATGAGATTTCCGGGTGACTGTATCATAGGCTCCTGCGGTCACTGCACAGTGAATTAATATATCACTTAGATGTCTTACAGCAGTGTTAAACATATCTATCACATCTTTACTGCGGAGATAATTTTGATATGGAATTTGACAATCCGGAGGAAGCCTGTAACTCATCCTTGAATATGATTCAGTTTTTTGTTAATTCGGAATCTCATTTTTACTTACTGATGGGATAATATTCTTAAAATAGCACACCAATGGTAGGTGGTCCGACTCGGTGCGTTGACAAACTTTCATATCTACAATATTATCGAATATATTTGAAGAAAGAATACAATAGTCAACAACACTACATCCAGAATGGGATATATATGACATGTTTCCAACGTTATCTGATTTAGTTCTTCCATTAACAATATGGATACCAAGTACCTTACAGATATGTAGTAGGTTTAAACCATAATTATTAACGACAGTATCTATGATGTAATCTAATTCACTTCCAGTTCTGGCATTAAAGTCGCCACACATTATGAATTCCGACAACTCGCCATAATCATTAATAATATCAAGCAGTTGTCGCTCTAGCATGTCAGTCCCACTCTCTTCACTGTCTGTGTACGCCGGTGACCCCTCGGGGTTAATGTAAACAAACACTAGGAAGAGTTGAAAGGGGGACAACTCGCTTCTTATTCTGAAAAAGAGAGCATTTTTTGCTTGGCAGTAAATTCTCTCAAAATAAGATGCAATATCTATTTTAATACAAACTGCTAATCCACCAGAAAACCTTCCCCGGGTTTTATATCTTCTAGGATTACTAGTGTAAATATCATATTCACCGACAATGTCATTTAAAATATTATGTGCATTTGGACACATTGTTTCAATGAAACAGAAAATGTTAAACTTTTTACAGAATAATATAAAATCAGAATACTCAACTTTTGATATAAGCCCATTTATATTCCAAGAGCATATGGACGTTATGACATCAGTGTCATTTGGTGTGTCGCCAGTTATGACGTCACTAACATGCATATCTGGTTCATCATCATACAGAGTAGATGACGAGAGTGGAGTATCAAGTGTGACGTCAGGAGAGAAGTTTGTTGCATCTCCAGCAGACTTTGGTTTTGAATTAAAGTCGATATCTTGAGTATCATCACGTTCGATGTCCACTGAACCAGCTGAGTCGATGTCAGTTGACGAGCTCATAAAATCTCGCACCACCTTCTCTGTCCCACTCCACGTCTCATTTCTTCCCTGTCAAACCATGGAAAATGCGGTTACCTTGCCTGGATTGTGCTTCTGAGTTCTTTTGTTTTGACTCTAAATCAGGAATTTGTTTTCTTAACATGGCATTTTCTTCCGGAAATGTGGCAAATTTTCCCTGACGTCGTTACGAAACTCGTTAAACTCGTCATTTGACGATGACACCTGAGACTGAATGTTGTTGAGTGTATTAGCGAGGTCACCAAGGGGGGACCCCAGCGTCTGGAGTAACACACTGACTTGGGACGTCAGAAGGGAAGTTGGTTGGATCTCCAGCAGAGTGTGGTTTGGAATTTAAGTCGCTATTTAGATTACTATCGTTATTACTATATGCAACTTTGATATTCAGAAAGTCAGTTTCACTGAGACCATAACCGTATTCCTATCCAGTGTGATGGCTAGTCTCGTCTGTAGCACGATTTGATGAGACCCAGTTACGACGCTTTCCTACCTGTCTCAAATCCGAGAGTTTATGGTCATAGACATACACCAGGCCATCTATAATGAGCTTGTCATAGCTCATGTATGACACTTTCTTGTCATCCCTTGCTCTCATCATAAAGGGAAATCTGGTATGTCGGACACGCTCTGTAAAGTCCTCGGACACTCTGAACTGTTTATTTCCTTTCAAAGTTTTCTTTGCTACTTCTAATATATCTCTTTCGTCTTTGAAGAACGTGAACTTGACAATCACAGGTCTATTCCCATTACGAGCATGCAACCGATGAGCACGTTCAATGCTCACTGAACCAGATGAGTCGATGTCAAGTGACGAGCTCATAAAATCTCGCACTACTTTCTCTGTTTCACGCCACGTCTCATTTCGTCCCTCTGTCAATCCATGGAAAATGAGGTAACATCGCCTGGATTGTGCTTCTAAACTATCTTGTTTTGTCTCAAGATCAGAAATTTGTTTTCTTAAAATACAATACAACCCATACCATCAAAGCCCCACTGCAACCCATACCATCAAAGCCCCACTGCAACCCATACCATCAAAGCCCCACTGCAACCCATACCATCAAAGCCCCACTGCAACCCATACCATCAAAGCCCCACTGCAACCCATACCATCAAAGCCCCACACCATCAAAGCCCGACTGCAACCCACACCATCAAAGCCCCACTGCAACCCACACCATCAAAGCCCCACTGCAACCCATACCATCAAAGCCCCACTGCACCCCACTGCAACCCATACCATCAAAGCCCCACTGCAACCCATACCATCAAAGCCCCACTGCAACCAATACCATCAAAGCCCCACTGCAACACATATGTAATGTTTTTTTCCTTCATGAAACTGTGCACATAGTGACATTAATTCATTCCAAGGTTAAACACATGTAGCGTTACCTAGGCGCCATGTTTCTATATCAGAACGAGGCTCTCTATGATGGTCATATGGCCATATACAGAAGGGCTATAAATAGCATGCATTAAACTCATTGCATCCCTCTTTTGATGTGAAATATAACGCATCTTGTTAATACAGTTTACGTTGTTTCATGTGATAATCAGCTTGATGTCATCATGTTAGTAACTTGAAGGGAATAAAGTTCTTTGGCACTCCGGAGTCATGTTGAACTTGGATTGTCTTTAACTTTAACGCTAACTTTTTGTACTTTAACAGAGTACACAACCTAATAATGCTGCATCAAACACTGTGCAGTTACGAGATAAACATATTTACAGTTCGTGGATACACACTAGAATTGAACTTTTAGGGTCTTTTATTCAGTCATCGTATCTTGATGGCTTGAAAACTGGTCTGCCACTTGCATTGTGTGTGAAGGATTCAGCTGTGTTACTACAGGGGTTGTTGTGTTGGTGGTCTGTTGTGTTGCTGTGTGGTTGGTGTTGGTGGTTGTTGTTGTGGGTTGCCTGGTCTGTTGTGTTTGTGGTGTTGCGTGTGTTGGTGTTGGTGGGTGTGTTGTGTTGGTGATCGTTGTTGAGTGTTGTTGGTGTTGGTACTGCAGTTGTTGGTGCTGGTTGTTGCTGTGTTGGTTGGTGGTCGTTGTTGTGTTGTGTTGGTGGTGGTTGTTGGTTGTGTTGTGATGTTGTGTTGGTGTTGGTGGTGTTGTTGTTGTTGGTGTGGTGGTTGCTGTTGTTGTGTTGGTGGTCGTTGTTGTGTTGGTGTTGGTGGTTGTGGTGTTGTGTTTGGTGGTCGTTGTTGTGTTGGTGTTGGTGGTGTTTGGTGTTGGTTGGTGTCGTTGTTGTGTTGGTGTTGGTTGTGGTGTTGGTGTTGGTGGTCGTTGTTGTGTTGGTGTTGGTGGTGTTGTGTTGGTGTTGGTGGTCGTTGTTGTGTTGGTGTTGGTGGTTGTTGTTGTGTTGGTGTTGGTGGTTGATGTTGTGTTCTTGCTGCTGTTGTTCATCTGCCTGTATGGGGTGATTGGCCTCACCCTCTTAGTGAACATGCATCTCTTGATGGGATTGGAAAGGTGTCTGCGGTTTCGACGGTAGACCTTGTCATTTATGTTCGGACTAGATATGATCTTGGGGTGTCCATCTGTTGAACTATTCTGGCTGGTTGTCACTTGCCCGAGGGGTTTGCATGCGAACAACATCACGTCCTTTAAGACGGGCAAGAACTTGTGCCTTCTTATCATAGAAGAGTTTTTGTTTCAGCAGTTTGTTGAGTAGTTTCTATTGGGCATCCGAGCAATTGGTGGTCTGGGACTGTAGCTGTTTGTGGGTTGCGAGGCGGCGACTCATGCTCTTTTGTGCTGGTGATGCTATGTTGTCAATTGGGGTGTTCCTGTACTCCAACAGTGCTAGGTATGGGGCTTGTTTATCTTGTTTGGACTTGGAGAATAGTCTTTTAGCAGTTTGGACTGTTTTCTCTGCCAGGCCATTGAATGTTGGGTAACCTGGGCTGCAGGTGACATGGTTAAAGTTCCAGGCTTTAGAGCAATTCTTGAATTCACCAGAGCTGTACTGGGGGTCGTTATCTGATTTAACTACCTCCGGGATGCCATGACGAGCAAAGAAACCTTTTAGCTTCTGGATCACTGTGTAAGATGTTGTGTCCTGGAGACTTGTGACTTCGAAGAACCTGCTGTAGTAATCCACTGCTATGATGTAGTGGCAGCCTTCTAGTTGGAATAGATCTGTGCCTATCATCTGCCAGGGTTGTGATGGTATTTCATGAGGTTTGAGCGGTTCTTTAGTGTTTGACATTTGCTTTTCTTGACAGATTCCACAGCTTGACACTAGGTTGTCTATCTGGGAGCACATTCCTGGCCAATATAATACACCTCGTGCACGACGTTTGGTTTTCTCCATGTCCATGTGTCCAGGCGTGTACTTTGGAGAGCATTTCTTTCCTCATTGTGCTGGGTATCACTATTCTGTCTCCGCGAAGAATTATGCCTTCTCCATACGACAGCTCATCACATACAGACCAGACATCTGCGATGAATTTGGGGCAGCTGGACTTGTTGATTGGCCATCAAGTTGTGATGATCTGTGCGAGTGCCTTCATTTGTTTGTCTTCACTTGTTTGTTCTGTAAGTCTGTTGTCGGACACTGGCAAGGATGATAGGACCATGTGTATTTGTGTGTCGAGATCTTCCATGTCTCTTTCAGTGCATCAGCGACTGGTATTTGTTTCCCTGGCTTGAATTTTGCCTCTAAATGATACTTCTGTAGGCAGAGTGAGAGGTGTGTTATCAACAGCTAGATGTAGCTGATCAGTTACCTAGGCTCTCATGGAGTGAGTGAAAGCTGTGTTATCCATGCCCCATGCTCCATTAATGCATCTATGTATATCATTGTATCCCACCCAGCTATGTTCTACATTTGACCAGGAAATGTACAGTGCAAAAACTCTATCTGTGACGAGGTGAAACAACAATGAAAAGTTTCATGATTTGTCTTTCAGGACTGACTCCCCCAACTTGTTTGTCTCACATCTATGTCTTAGGTTTCCTAAGAAATCACACAGAAATCTGAAAGAGCATTGATATTATTTATTACAAATAATGAGTACTGTAAAGAAATCCAGCAGGTAAGGATCAATTTAATGTGGATAGTGAACACTTTCAGCTTTGATGAAATGCACAATTTCTTTGTTTTGTTTTGATTTCAAAATAATATAAATTCATTGTCATCAATGGAAAATAGCATTACCCGGAATCTGATTTTTACTTCCTTTTGAATTATGCTCCTTTTTCAGATTGTGTTGGTTCCTCAAATGTGGTGTTAAAGGACAAATAAATGAAAAGCCAACTGGTTACAAAAGACTCAAGCTGATAGTTGATGATCAAGAAACAGGACATAACAGGAAAAATGAACAACGATCTGAATTTCGAACTCTGGCTTTCCGAATGGGCAACACATGTCACATCCATCTTCTAACACATCTCCTGAAGAGTCTCTCAACAACAAGACTGGTCCAGTGACACAATGTCTGAACACAAGATGTCACAGTATTCAAGGTGTCATCAAGACACAATGTCTGAAGACAAGATGTCACAGTATCCAAGCTGTTATCAAGACATAACTGACTGACTGAGTTTAGTTTTACGACGCTTTTAGCAATATTCCAGCAATATCACCGCGGGGGACACCAGAAATGGGCTTAACACATTGTGCCCATATCAAGACATAATGTCTGAACACAAGATATCACAGTATTCATGGTGTCATCAAGACACAATGTCTGAAGACAAGATGTCACAGTATTCAAGCTGTTATCAAGACAATGTCTGAACACAAGATGTCACAGTATTCAAGGTGTCACCAAGACACAATGTCTGAACACAAGATGTCACAGTATTCATGGTGTCCTCAAGACACAATGTCTGAAGACACGATGTCACAGTATTCAAGATGTCATCATGACATAATGTCTGAAACTTGCATGATCTAACAATGTTCGATGTACAATGTCTGAGTCATGATGAAACAATGCCATTTAGAAAGTGGTCAAATGTAACATATGTTATATTTGGGATTACACTTTCTTAGTAAAGTACAGATTCTGGTGCTTTTGTTGGGTTGAGTCCCATGTGGGATTCGAACCCACACCCTCAGAGTTGCCAGCACCTACCTGCCAGCACACAAAGTCAGCCGTCTAACCCGCTCAGCCACCGCTACTTCTGAGTCATGACAACACAAACTTCAAAATTTCATGCCGACACAATGTCCTCTGGCATACCGCCATACAGCTGGAATATTGCTGAGTGCGGCTTAAAACTAAAATCACTCCAATGACAATACAATGCCTGTGAGATCAATGGTAACATGCAACTGGTGGTAACACATGTGATGACACAATTATGATAAAAAAAAATGAAAATCAAACAATGGTTGAACTAATGTTCCACATAATACGCTTCATGCCAGTTATATGAACGGATTCAAGTACATCAACATCTTATGATTTATAATCCGATTCCTATGAACAGTGTAGCTTCATACCATCAAGACATTATTTAAACTGATGTGTATATGTTGAAACCATGGTAACAATTCTTGTCTGGTTGTGGTGGTTGTAAATAATCAAGTCTGGAACAGACAACCAAGTCAACAACAGGACAATCAATTTGTTCGTCTCTCCCGATCAGCACAGACAGGGACTAGTTCTGGTTTGTGACCTAGAGGTTGCCACAACATACCAGAACAACCAAAAGTAATAATACTGACTGACTGAGTTTGATTTTACGCCGCTTTTAGCAATATTCCAGCAACATCACGGCAGGGGACACCAGAACTGGGCTTCACACATTGTGCCCATGTGGGGATTCGAACCCGGCTCTTCGGCGTGACGAGCCAACGCTTTAACCATTAGGCTACCCCACCGCCACACAAAAAAGTAATAATAACTGACCTTGACATTACAAGATGACCCTGAAGATTATACAAAATAGTAGATCTTCACATGTTCAAAGAGAATAAAATATTACAAAGTACACTTTCATTTAGAATGATGCTTAGTCTTTGAAAATATATATTTTTGACAGAAACAAATAATTTGGTTCAAGGACTGTCAGGCAGACTAAGTTTCATTCAAACTGTTGTCCTTCACAGGTATGAGAATGAATTAAAATCCTTTTTCACTCTATGATCTCCTCTGGTCAAGGTGACCTTGGTGTCACGTCTTCTTGTTAGCTATGCCGTGGGTATAGTCTTCCAGGACATTGTCAAGATGGTCGTTGTGCTTCTTGAACTGTTTCCCTTTCCGACTTCCTCCCTTCTTCCGTTTGACAGCCATCTGGAAACAGAGAGTCATGTGAGTGAGTGAGTGAGGGAGGGAAGGGAGAGAGAGAGCATGGATCAAACTACTGATGGACAGCATTTGACTCCAGCCTGGGGAAATACATTGGATGTTAACACTAACAGCGTTCAAAATACCTGTCTGCGAGACCGCCCGGGACGGGTTATTTGCAGCATGGACTGCCAGATTCTCAAATTCACCTGCCCGACGGTGGGGTTAAAATTTAGACATGTATCGTGAAAATAAATGATGAATTCTAATTGGATGATAAACTATGTCGCTTGTCAAACCTAAAGTATTTGAGGGCAGGTAAGTTTTGGTCAGGGCTGGCAAGTTTTACATCTAAACCAGCCCTGTGATCTGGCTGAAATTTTTGAGAGTTTCATACCCTGATGTTAAAACATTATATCATAAAAACAGTCCTGAAACTGACAGCTTATCCCGTCCTATGACAAGCATAGGTTACTGATTCTGGCAAAGAAGGAGCACACCTATACACCTGACTTCACATGTCCATATTAGAATGACTACAAAAATAATTAATTAAAAGCTGTTTAAAGGGGCACTGATCCAGAGCAATTTCCGTAGACAGGTTGTTGTTTTTATTATTGTTTTTCTCTGGTGAGTACCCGGATGATATCCCAGAATTCATGACTGCGCCACCCTCATGCACAATTGATAGCATAAGTATAAATTGATCAACAAAGATGAACTCTTTTTTACATGTCATGTGTCTTTAAACAGCCTAATATGCGAAAAAATGTGATCTATTGTTTCAGGTTTTTCACATTAGTGTATAGTCCCATTGGGAACCCAAGATAGCACACCTGGCAACTAATTGCATGATGTCCGCCACTCTATAAAAAAAGTAAATTTTGTTAGCCAATAATGAGCAATCAATCAATGTATTGGAGGTTAATCCTTTGAAGGAAGGACATTGTTTTTACAAAGAGACTTTACGACAGGGTGTATTCAGTATAGATTAGTAAATCTCCATACACAAACACTACAATTTGACAAATCCGCTGTGCAGGATAAAAGCAATTAATCAATCAGCGTGTTATCCATTAATCCTTGGATCAATGTTTGTTTTGTAACTCAACTGATAATTCCTCTTACTGCACTTCCATGCGCACATTACATAAGATTAATACATTTGCCACATCAGACCTTAATTTATAATGATGAGTATTTACTCCAGACACAAAAAATGCCAAACTTTTGTCGGGTATAAGATTACTCAGAATATTTTAACAACTAATACTTACTTACATAAGATTGGAATTAGAGAAACACCACTATGCACACTCTGTAAACAGACACGAGAGTCTGTACGGCATCTACTGTTTGAGTGTAGTTTAGTAAAGGGAGAGTGGGTGGAACTGTCCTCATGGCTCGAGATATTGGGCGGCAGAGGGAGTGTGGGTGGAACTGTCCTCATGGCTCGAGATATTGGGCGGCAGAGGGAGTGTGGGTGGAACTGTCCTCATGGCTCGAGATATTGGGGGCAGAGGAGGGAGTGTGGGTGGAACTGTCCTCATGGCTCGAGATATTGGGCGGCAGAGGGAGTGTGGGTGGAACTGTCCTCATGGCTCGAGATATTGGGCGGCAGAGGGAGTGTGGGTGGAACTGTCCTCATGGCTCGAGATATTGGGGGGCAGAGGGAGTGTGGGTGGAACTGTCCTCATGGCTCGAGATATTGGGCGGCAGAGGGAGTGTGGGTGGATCTGTCCTCATGGTTCGAGATATTGGGCGGCAGAGGGAGTGTGGGTGGAACTGTCCTCATGGCTCGAGATATTGGGTGGCAGAGGGTGTGGGTGGAACTGTCCTCATGGCTCGAGATATTGGGTGGCAGAGGGAGTGTGGGTGGAACTGTCCTCATGGCTCGAGATATTGGGCGGCAGAGGAAGTGTGGGTGGAGCTGTCCTCATGGCTCGAGATATTGGGCGGCAGAGGGAGTGTGGGTGGAACTGTCCTCATGGCTCGAGATATTGGGCGGCAGAGGGAGCGTGGGTGGAACTGTCCTCATGGCTCGAGATATTGGGGGGCAGAGGGAGTGTTGGTGGATCTGTCCTCATGGCTCGAGATATTGGGTGGCAGAGGAGTGTGGGTGGAACTGTCCTCCTCATGGCTCGAGATATTGGGGGGCAGAGGGAGTGTGGGTGGAGCTGTCCTCATGGCTCGAGATATTGGGCGGCAGAGGAGCGTGGGTGGAACTGTCCTCATGGCTCGAGATATTGGGCAGCAGAGAGGGAGTGTGGGTGGAACTGTCCTCATGGCTCGAGATATTGGGGGCAGAGGGAGCGTTGGTGGATCTGTCCTCATGGCTCGAGATATTGGGCGGCAGAGGGAGCGTGGGTGGAACTGTCCTCATGGCTCGAGATATTGGGGGGCAGAGGGAGTGTGGGTGGAACTGTCCTCATGGCTCGAGATATTGGGTGGCAGAGGGAGCGTGGGTGGAACTGTCCTCATGGCTCGAGATATTGGGTGGCAGAGGGAGTGTGGGTGGAACTGTCCTCATGGCTCGAGATATTGGAAGGCAGAGAGGGGAGTGTGGGTGGAACTGTCCTCATGGCTCGAGATATTGGGGGCAGAGGGAGTGTGGGTGGAACTGTCCTCATGGCTCGAGATATTGGGCGGCAGAGGGAGTGTGGGTGGAACTGTCCTCATGGCTCGAGATATTGGGCGGCAGAGGGAGTGTGGGTGGAACTGTCCTCATGGCTTCGAGATATTGGGGTGGCAGAGGGAGCGTGGGTGGAACTGTCCTCATGGCTCGAGATATTGGGTGGCAGAGGGAGTGTGGGTGGAACTGTCCTCATGGCTCGAGATATTGGGTGGCAGAGGGAGTGTGGGTGGAACTGTCCTCATGGCTCGAGATATTGGGTGGCAGAGGGAGTGTGGGTGGAACTGTCCTCATGGCTCTCGAGATATTGGGTGGCAGAGGGGAGTGTGGGTGGAACTGTCCTCATGGCTCGAGATATTGGGTGGCAGAGGAGTGTGGGTGGAACTGTCCTCATGGCTCGAGATATGGCAGGGGGCAGAGAGAGTGTGGGTGGAACTGTCCCTCATGGCTCGAGATATTGGGCTGGCAGAGGGAGTGTGGGTGGAACTGTCCTCATGGCTCGAGATATTGGCTGGCAGAGAGGTGGAGTGTGGGTGGGAACTGTCCTCATGGCTCGAGATGGGTGGAACTGTCCTCATGGCTCGAGATATTGGGTGGCAGAGGGAGTGTGGGTGGAACTGTCCTCATGGGCTCGAGATATTGGGCAGCTTGGGTGGCAGAGGGAGTGAACTGTCCTCATGGTGGATACTGGGTCCTCATGGAACTGTCCTCATGGCTCGAGATATTGGAATGGCAGAGGGAGGAGTGGGTGGAACTCTGTCCTCATGGCTCGAGATATTAGGCGGCAGAGGGAGATGTGGGTGGAACTGTCCTCATGGCTCGAGATATTGGGTGGCAGAGGGAGTGTGGGTGGAACTGTCCTCATGGCTCGAGATATTGGGCGGCAGAGGAGTGTGGGTGGAACTGTCCTCATGGCTCGAGATATTGGGCGGCAGAGGGAGTGTGGGTGGAACTGTCCTCATGGCTCGAGATATTGGGTGGCAGAGGGAGCGTGGGTGGAACTGTCCTCATGGCTCGAGATATTGGGGGCAGAGGGAGTGTGGGTGGATCTGTCCTCATGGCTCGAGATATTGGGTGGCAGAGGGAGTGTGGGTGGAACTGTCCTCATGGCTCGAGATATTGGGGGGCAGAGGGAGTGTGGGTGGAACTGTCCTCATGGCTCGAGATATTGGGCGGCAGAGGGAGCGTGGGTGGAACTGTCCTCATGGCTCGAGATATTGGGCAGCAGAGGGAGTGTGGGTGGAACTGTCCTCATGGCTCGAGATATTGGGGGGCAGAGGGAGCGTGGGTGGATCTGTCCTCATGGCTCGAGATATTGGGTGGCAGAGGGAGTGTGGGTGGAACTGTCCTCATGGCTCGAGATATTGGGTGGCAGAGGGAGAGTGGGTGGAACTGTCCTCATGGCTCGAGATATTGGGTGGCAGAGGGAGAGTGGGTGGAACTGTCCTCATGGCTCGAGATATTGGGTGGCAGAGGGAGTGTGGGTGGAACTGTCCTCATGGCTCGAGATATTGGGCGGCAGAGGGAGTGTGGGTGGAACTGTCCTCATGGCTCGAGATATTGGGCAGCAGAGGGAGTGTGGGTGGAACTGTCCTCATGGCTCGAGATATTGGGTGGCAGAAGGAGTGTGGGTGGAACTGTCCTCATGGCTCGAGATATTGGGTGGCAGAGGGAGTGTGGGTGGAACTGTCCTCATGGCTCGAGATATTGGGCGAAGGACAAATTGAATTAACACTAAAAAAAATATGTTATTTGCTCTTAAGGGGAAAAATAACAACCCTCTAAACATTATCTGCCTAATAGTAAAGAAGAGTATTTACAGGATGAGCAGAAAAGATGTTAAACCAAACTTTCATCAGATCAAAAGTGAGATCAAAGATACTATAAATCATGTAAATATATTGCCTTTACACACGCTGCCCAGCTAAATGTCTTACATTTTGGTCATCTCTCCACACTCTCCTAGCCTTTACACACGCTGACCAGCTAAATGTCTTACATTTTGGTCATCTCTCCACACTCTCCTAGCCTTTACACACGCTGACCAGCTAAATGTCTTACATTTTGGTCATCTCTCCACACTCTCCTAGCCTTTACACACGCTGACCAGCTAAATGTCTTACATTTTGGTCATCTCTCCACACTCTCCTAGCCTTTACACACGCTGACCAGCTAAATGTTTTACATTTTGGTCATCTCTCCACACTCTCCTAGCACAATAATACGCAATATGCAAAGTTTACCCAGATTCAGTGTGGTCTCACATGGAATAATTATATGACGTTGTATTATCATTATTGTATTATCATTATTCAGATATTATCATTAATCAGATATTATCATTACTCAGATAATGATTACTGTACACTTCCAGAATGACTGTGACTGGAAAGCTGGTTTTTATGGATGTATGTATCTATACATTTGATACAAATTGCCTGTTACATGTAAGCTTACTTAGACCTACTGTGGTTTCACATGGAATTATTATATGATAATGTACTAGTACAAATCAGATATTGTCATTACTCGGAGAATGATTTTTGTACACTTCCATGATGACTGTGATCTGAAAGCCGGTTTGTATGGATATAGGTATGTATTTGACTACAAATTACCTGCTATATGTAACTCTACCTTGACCTAATGTAGTCGACCCGTGAAGATCCGGGGTAGAATAGGTCTTCAGCAACCCATGTGCTTGCCATAAAAAGTGACTATCTTGTCGTAAGAGGTGACTAACGGGATCGGGTGGTCAGTTTCGCTGACTTGGTTGACACATGTCATCGGTTCCCAATTGCGCAGATCGATGCTCATGCTGTTGATCACTGGATTGTCTGGTCCAGACTCGATTATTTACAGACCGCCGCCATATAGCTGGAATATTGCTGAGTGCGGCGTAAAACTAAACTCACTCACTCACTCACCTAATGTAGTCCCACAAGGAGTAATTATATAATGATGTAGTATTGTACTCTTATCAATCAGATATTATCATTAGGGAGATAATGATTACTGTACACTTCCATGATGACCGTGACTTGAAACCCGTTTGTATGGATATAGGTACGTATTTGACTACAAATTACCTGTTATATATAAGTCTACCTAGGCTTACTGTGGTCCCACATGGAATAATTTCATGATGATGTACCATTATTAATCACATATTATGACTACTGAATACTTTCAAGATGACGGCGACTTAAAAAGCCGGTTTGTATGTATGCATGTATTTATTCAATAAGTGCCTGTTGTATGTAAAATGTATCTCTTGGGAATAAAAAACTTTAAAAAAAGAGAGAAAAAAGGGTAACAAGCCACAGAGTTACCAAGGCACTGGGATACCAACTTGCCAGGGTAGCAAGTAACTGGGTTGGGAGGTCCCTGGGGTACCAGCTCATGTGGGTACTATCCTACCAGGGTACCAAGTAACTAAGGTGGGGTGTCACTGGGTACCAACTCATTTGGGTATCATCCTACCAGGGTACCAAGTAGCTGGGGTGGGATGTCACTGGGTACCAGCTCATATGGGTACTGTCCTACCAAGGTACCAAGTAACTAGGGTGGGGTGTTCCTGGTGTACCAGCTCATTTGGTTACCATCCTACCAGGGTACCAAACCACAGGTGTACCAAGTAGCTGGGGTGGGATGTCACTGGGTACCAGCTCATTTGGTTACCATCCTACCAGGGTACCAAACCACAGGTGTACCAAGTAGCTGGGGTGGGATGTCACTGGGGTACCAGCTCATTTGGGTATCATCTTACCAGGGTACCAAACCACAGGGGTACCAAGTAGCCGGGGTGGGATGTCACTGGGGTACCAGCCCATTTGGGTATCATCTTACCAGGGTACCAAGCCACAGGGGTACCAAGTAGCTGGGATGGGATGTCACTGAGGTACCAGCTCATTTGGGTATCATCTTACCTGGGTACCAAGCCACAGGGGTACCAAGTAGCTGGGGTGGGATGTCACTGGGGTACCAGCTCATTTGGGTACCATCTTACCAGGGTACCAAACCACAGGGGTACCAAGTAGCCGGGGTGGGATGTCACTGGGGTACCAGCTCATTTGGGTACCAATATGGGGTTACCAAGCCACAGCCATCATTTGACCAACATATTACTCCTTCTTTTTCATCTTACATCAAACATGGGGGTGCTTTGGGACATATTCCGATCAGACTGCACACATCGTTTAACTCCATCCTAACATCGTCATAAAGGTGAAGGAATTGTACATACAACAGGTTTGGGTCCGAGGTCTTGCATGGAGGTGATGCCATGCTTGTCCAGGTATTCCTCGATCTTCTTCTCATCCAGACCGTCCACCGCAACACTCCGCCACATCTTCTGGAATTCTGCATCAATCATACAATTATTCAACGTGTTTCCCTTTATTTTCTTTCATTATCTTTATTAAATTGGTATTTTGTACTTAATTTATCATCTTCTGCCATGATGACACTGGATACTTTCAAAGTCAGCATGAGTTGCTGGGGTCCAATTTACACACAGAATTCCAAGGAGTAAAACTAAATATGTAATTTTCTGAATAAAATTGATATTTTATACTTATCCTGACTCATGCTTATTTGCTTGTCTCCTTAAGCAAATAAACAAGAGTCAGGATAAGGAAAAATATGTAATTTTCTGAATAAAATTGATATTCTATACTTATCCTGACTCATGCTTATTTGCTTAAGGAGACAAGCAAATAAGCATGAGTCAGGTTAAGGAAAATATGGTTTCTAAAAAACAATATTAATCTTATATTTTTATCATAAATAGGTTGGGTTTCCAAACAAACAAACAGTGCCTGAAAGCGCATCTATTTGACTGGTAACATGGTTGATAAAGTATATACATGTACTAGTCCTAACAAAATAATAGTTTGGATTGTGGCTAAAGTTTTCATGGTACCATTTATGCAAAGATTTATGAAATAACAGAAATTTCATAAAACTGAAGTGTTATGACAAACAGAGTTGTCTCCCTTGACTTTCAGAAACGTTCTGCTAATTCAAATCAGAATCAGTTGTTTTATCTGAAGCTTTCACAGAGAAGATTGAAGGAAGATCGAGAAATCTGTCAGATGTCATTTGAGGGTTTACCTTCGTCTATCTTAAACTGGCAGTACTTGTCGTTGTAATATAGCACCTTCTTCTTGTCCATGGGTCTTGTCACGTAGATGATATGTTCACCGAGTTGCTGCAAACATACACACCAGATACATGTCAGTACCGTGACTTTCAGTCCACAGTTTCACAAGGTAGGACATAGTACTTCTTTCACTAGCGGATAGGAACTTGCGTCCTCAGCTAGCTGATCCTTTTAAACTGTTTGCAATAATAGAATTCCTGTCTCATTCCTGCTTGACAACGGTACAAGAATCTGTATCAACACGTCGCACTTACGAATAAAAGAAGTTGTTATCCATAAAGTTTGTTTTATATAATAAGAAAATTTCAAGAAGTTTCAACGTGATGTGCGTAGCAATACTTATGTACTTGCTGTACCTTTTCACTCCAGTTCACGACACAGAAATCTTGCTGTTTTTTTCTGTTATATTTTTCAAAGCACTTGTAGCATTATACCAGTTTAATTCCTCGGTCAAACCCTTGCTAAAGATGATGTTGCCGCCTCTATATAATGGGTACAATGTGTGAAACACATTTTTGGTATTCCCTGCTATGACAGTGCTGGAATATTGTTACTGTTCTTAGTAATAATAATAATAATAATAATAATAATAATATGTCGACTTTGCAATGAATTTACAGAGACTGTCCAACACCTTGTCAGTGGATGCCCTTCCTTGGCACAAACAGCATATCTTAAACGACATGATGGCATGGCTCGCTGTTTTTACTACCGTCTCCGACATGCCTGTGGCTTTGACTCCGAGGTCCATCCATGGTACGACCCTGAACATGTCCAGGGCATCATGGAAAATGATGCTTTCAAACTTCTGTGGAATAGGCCCATATACAGCCTCAGAAGAATTCCAGCTAACAAACCTGATCTTGTCCTTTTTGATAAAGCCAATGAATTTATTTATATCATTGAATTTTCTGTCCCTTTTGACACCAATGTGATTGGCAAGATTAAGGAAAAGCATGATAAATATGCGGACCTCGCCTTTGAAATGTCTCGCTTGCATCCCAAGTACACTGTCATCAGGCTCCCCATTGTTCTCGGTGCCCTTGGTTTGGTACCTCCTGATCTCTTGGCGCAGATCAGGAGAGTGCCCGGGTTCTCCACCGGGAGTACAGCCCTTCTGACACTCTGGGTAATGCAGAAGGCTGCAGTGTTGGGGAGCCTTCATATTCTCCGGAAAGTTCTTGGTGGGTTCGACTAGGCAGCGTTTCCTGGGAGAAGTCCCATTCGCTGTCTGGGCTGCGTGTAGAGGGGGCAAGGGCCCTGAGCTGATGATGAGCCTTACCAGCCTGACTGTGCCAGGATCACCCGAACCCTCTCTGCTGCATACAATTTTTAATCTGTAAATAATAATAATAATAATAATAATAAAGCATCTGTCACTTGTGCATGCTCAAGGCGCTAACAGTAAGATATTACTACCCCAGATAGCCGAAACTGAACGTGAAGAGCTAGAAGGTCACCAGTCATGAGACTTATCCGACCGGGTACCCATGCACTGCTGGGTGAACAGAGGCAATTCTTAAACAAACTTACAAACTGTTCATATGAATTGTCTTCAGTACAATACACACATGCAATTCTGACCTCAGCTGAAAATGTTTGTTTTCTGTAGATTAGGAATTAGCCATAGTAACCTGCTGTTAAGCTGCTCTCTATAACAGATTTTGATATTGACTGTGGCTATACAAGGCATGAAACACCTCTCTGTTAAATGACACTATCACTGCACAGGTCTGTGTATTTACAAGTTAGTATCAAACTCATTCATAGATAGCATCACAGCTTAATGGCAGAAAGCATATTTACATATTTACATATCATTTCGGGCAAATTTGTGACAACCACAGATTGTTTGTGGCAGTTGGACGGTAGGTACGCCCACGTGCACATGTTCACCCCTTACTTTGAAGACTTTGGCTGCATCAGGCAACGACTCCTCAATGTCTTCCATAAGAATTCCGCCTCGTCCGTGCAGGTCGTAGCTCTTTAACAGCTTCATCAGGCTTTTTCGGTCTCTCACCTCATACTTAGGCTTAAACAGGAACTTCTTCAAGTTCCGTTCTTCAACAACGATAATCTTCGGATTGTTTATAAGAGCCTGAAATATCAGTTAAGACATTTAAGAGATAAAACTGCATAATTATGAGAGATTGTCCTCTGGAAGTCATCTGATTTCTGTCTCTGTCTTCAAGGGAGTCATATGCATATAATAAGAAAAAAATATTTACAAAAAGACTTCTAGTTGTAACTAACAGAGAACGTATTGACTCAAAATTAAATTTCTATCAGTATCCAAGCGTCAGTATGTTTCTTCTTGTTACTTATCATGATGATAGACCCAATAGCAAATACCAATATTTCCAATATGTTACCATGGTAAAGTGTAATACCCATGTTCACCTCTGTGTGGAGCCAGCGTTACTATGGCAAACCCCATTCACCCTCTGCCTGTTACCATGGTAACACAATGCCCCAGTTCACCTCTGTGTGGAGCCGATATTGCTATGGTAACATGCAACCCCACATTTACGCTCTGCATGTTACCATAGTAACATGTAATACCCCAGTTCACCCCTATATGTTACCATGGTAACATCTTATACCCAAGTTAACCTGTGTGTGGAGTCAGTGTTCTATGGTAACATGCAACCCCCATTTACCCTCTGCATGTTACCATGGTAACACAATGCCCAACCCCCATTTACCCTCTGCATGTTACCATGGTAACACAATGCCCCAGTTCACCTCTGTGTGGAGCCAGTGTCTCATCCTGCTGCCGATGTCCAGCTGGTTTGTCTCGTCTAGTATTTCCTCGATGTCCAGCGGCTCTGGCTCGCCATTCTGATGTCGAATCTAGAACCAGATCATTTCAATGAACTTGGCTGTCTGAACAACAGTTATACCATGGCTGTCAACTTGAAATGAGTGAGTGAGTGAGTGAGTGAGTGAGTGAGTGAGTGAGTGAGTGAGTGAGTGAGTGAGTGAGTTTGGGTGGGTGAGTGAGTGAGTGAGTTTTAATTTCATACTGCTTTTTGCAATATTCCAGCAATATCATAGTGGTGGACACAAGAAATGTGCTTCACATATTGTACCCATGTGGTTAATTGAACCGGGGTCTTCGGCGTGACAAGCAAACGCTTTAACCAGTAGGCTACCCCACTAGCCCTGAAACCATGAAGAGATGCAAGTCTTTGAGGTCTCTGGCATAAAACAACAAAAGCATGCAGTTTGGCGTGAACTTTAAAAAGTGTGCATCGCTGTGAGCGGGAAAACTGATGTATGGCAGTGTAGGAAAGATGTAGAAAATCTAGCCTGTCCACAGGACTGGCAGGTCAAATTTTTTACCAGTCCTGCCAAAATCTGGCCTGTCCTCCAAATATAAATAAAACACCTTCGGCAGTAAATATTCAAAAAGGTTATAATCATTATATATATGTCATTGGTTTGCTAAAATTGACCCGACATGAGGACGGACTAGATATTTTTTTAACCCGTCCTCCACAAAATTCACCCGTCTGGGACGTTGGGACGGGCTATCTTTCCTACACTGTGTATGGCTGTTTGGGAACGCTTTGACTTTGCTATGAAATTTGTTAGTGATATATTTTCATATGCATGCATGATATATGCATTCATGAAAGAGTAATTCATAGAAAAGGCTCATTTAAAGCAAAAATCGGTTGAGAGTTACCTCCGTGTTGTGGTGCGTGCACGTTATTATTTTGTTATTACATTGTTATTACTTCGGATTATTTCACAAAGTGAGTTAGTAATGTGAACAGCGTTGTTTCGGACATGAGGGCATTCAAGTAGGTTTGTTATATGGTTTCAGCTGTAACCTGATTCATGTGGAATACTGACAGTATTTTCCAGCAACACTACAAACTTGTGCCATGTCTTACTGCTTGATAAGTGTCACAGAATAAATATGATAAAGCAGTATATGAGAATATTGCGGAATCTGATGGTTCTTGACCATTGATCGAAACTGACAAAATTCTTGGTCCCCTTGAGTCCATTACATCCACAGTTTACTGTACTTCTATGACACCCCTAGATCTCCACTATCAAACATTCCACTATTCCACAGTTTACTTCTATGACACCCCTAGATATCCACTATCAAACATTCCACTATTCCACAGTTTACTGTACTTCTATGACACCCCTAGATCTCCACTATCAAACAGTTCACTATTCCACAGTTTACTGTACTTCTATCACACCCCTAGATCTCCACTATCAAACAGTTCACTATTCCACAGTTTACTTCTATGACACCCCTAGATATCCACTATCAAACAGTTCACTATTCCACAGTTTACTGTACTTCTATGACACCCCTAGATCTCCACTATCAAACATTCCACTATTCCACAGTTTACTTCTATGACACCCCTAGATATCCACTATCAAACAGTTCACTATTCCACAGTTTACTTACTTCTATGACACCCCTAGATCTCCACTATCAAACAGTTCACTATTCCACAGTTTACTGTACTTCTATGACACCCCTAGATCTCCACTATCAAACAGTTCACTATTCCACAGTTTACTTCTATGACACCCCTAGATCTCCACTATCAAACAGTTCACTATTCCACAGTTTACTTCTATGACACCCCTAGATCTCCACTATCAAACAGTTCACTATTCCACAGTTTACTGTACTTCTATGACACCCCTAGATCTCCACTATCAAACAGTTCACTATTCCACAGTTTACTGTACTTCTATGACACACCCCTAGATCTCCACTATCAAACAGTTCACTATTCCACAGTTTACTGTACTTCTATGACACCCCTAGATCTCCACTATCAAACAGTTCACTATTCCACAGTTTACTGTACTTTCTATGACACCCCTAGATATCCACTATCAAACAGTTCACTATTCCACAGTTTACTGTACTTCTATGACACCCCTAGATCTCCACTATCAAACAGTTCACTATTCCACAGTTTACTGTACTTCTATGACACCCCTAGATCTCCACTATCAAACAGTTCACTATTCCACAGTTTACTGTACTTCTATGACACCCTAGATCTCCACTATCAAACAGTTTATCTCCACTATCAAACAGTTCACTATTCCACAGTTTACTTCTATGACACCCCTAGATCTCCACTATCAAACAGTTCACTATTCCACAGTTTATTTCTATGACACCCCTAGATCTCCACTATCAAACAGTTCACTATTCCACAGTTTACTGTACTTCTATGACACCCCTAGATCTCCACTATCAAACAGTTCACTATTCCACAGTTTACTTCTATGACACCCCTAGATATCCACTATCAAACAGTTCACTATTCCACAGTTTACTGTACTTCTATGACACCCCTAGATCTCCACTATCAAACAGTTCACTATTCCACAGTTTACTTCTATGACACCCCTAGATCTCCACTATCAAACAGTTCACTATTCCACAGTTTACTGTACTTCTATGACACCCCTAGATCTCCACTATCAAACAGTTCACTATTCCACAGTTTACTTCTATGACACCCCTAGATATCCACTATCAAACAGTTCACTATTCCACAGTTTACTGTACTTCTATGACACCCCTAGATCTCCACTATCAAACAGTTCACTATTCCACAGTTGTACTTCTATGACACCCCTAGATCTCCACTATCAAACAGTTCACTATTCCACAGTTTACTGTACTTCTATGACACCCCTAGATCTCCACTATCAAACAGTTCACTATTCCACAGTTTACTGTACTTCTATGACACCCCTAGATCTCCACTATCAAACAGTTCACTATTCCACAGTTTACTGTACTTCTATGACACCCCTAGATCTCCACTATCAAACAGTTCACTATTCCACAGTTTACTTCTATGACACCCCTAGATCTCCACTATCAAACAGTTCACTATTCCACAGTTTACTGTACTTCTATGACACCCCTAGATCTCCACTATCAAACAGTTCACTATTCCACAGTTTACTGTACTTCTATGACACCCCTAGATCTCCACTATCAAACAGTTCACTATTCCACAGTTTACTGTACTTCTATGACACCCCTAGATCTCCACTATCAAACAGTTCACTATTCCACAGTTTACTGTACTTCTATGACACCCCTAGATCTCCACTATCAAACAGTTCACTATTCCACAGTTTACTGTACTTCTATGACACCCCTAGATATCCACTATCAAACAGTTCACTATTCCACAGTTTACTGTACTTCTATGACACCCCTAGATATCCACTATCAAACAGTTCACTATTCCACAGTTCCACAGTTGACTTACTTCTATGACATTCCTCTAGATAGTTCCACTATCAAACAGTTCACTATTCCACAGTTTACTTCTATGACACCCTAGATCTCCACTATCAAACAGTTCACTATTCCACAGTTTACTGTACTTCTATGACACCCCTAGATCTCCACTATCAAACAGTTCACTATTCCACAGTTTACTGTATTTCTATGACACCCCTAGATATCCACTATCAAACAGTTCACTATTCCACAGTTTACTGTATTTCTATGACACCCCTAGATCTCCACTATCAAACAGTTCACTATTCCACAGTTTACTTCTATGACACCCCTAGATATCCACTATCAAACAGTTCACTATTCCACAGTTTACTGTACTTCTATGACACCCCTAGATCTCCACTATCAAACAGTTCACTATTCCACAGTTTACTTCTATGACACCCCTAGATATCCACTATCAAACAGTTCACTATTCCACAGTTGACTGTACTTCTATGACACCCCTAGATCTCCACTATCAAACAGTTCCACTATTCCACAGTTTACTGTACTTCTATGACACCCCTAGATCTCCACTATCAAACAGTTCACTATTCCACAGTTTACTGTACTTCTATGACACCCCTAGATCTCCACTATCAAACAGTTCACTATTCCACAGTTTACTTCTATGACACCCCTAGATATCCACTATCAAACAGTTCACTATTCCACAGTTTACTTTACTTCTATGACACCCCTAGATCTCCACTATCAAACAGTTCACTATTCCACAGTTTACTTCTATGACACCCCTAGATCTCCACTATCAAACAGTTCACTATTCCACAGTTTACTGTACTTCTATGACACCCCTAGATCTCCACTATCAAACAGTTCACTATTCCACAGTTTACTTCTATGACACCCCTAGATCTCCACTATCAAACAGTTCACTATTCCACAGTTGACTGTACTTCTATGACACCCTAGATCTCCACTATCAAACAGTTCACTATTCTATGACACAGTTCAAACAGTTCACTATTCCACAGTACTTCTATGACACCCCTAGATCTCCACTATCAAACAGTTCACTATTCCACAGTTGACTGTACTTCTATGACACCCCTAGATCTCCACTATCAAACAGTTCACTATTCCACAGTTTACTGTACTTCTATGACACCCCTAGATCTCCACTATCAAACAGTTCACTATTCCACAGTTTACTGTATTTCTATGACACCCCTAGATCTCCACTATCAAACAGTTCACTATTCCACAGTTTACTGTACTTCTATGACACCCCTAGATATCCACTATCAAACAGTTCACTATTCCACAGTTTACTTCTATGACACCCCTAGATCTCCACTATCAAACAGTTCACTATTCCACAGTTTACTTCTATGACACCCCTAGATATCCACTATCAAACATTTCACTATTCCACAGTTCCTTCCATGTGAGTTATTGTCTATGTGAAACCTTTCTCGTCACTCTATGGCTGAAATATTGCTGAGGTGACGTTAAATTTTAACTCACTCACTCACTCTTCCATACAGACTCAGATTTGTTTGTCCATTTGTTGTTTAACGCCGCACTCAGCAATATTCCAGCTACATGGCAGCAGTCTGTAAATAATCGAGTCTGGACCAGACAATCCAGTGGCAAACCGCATGAGTATCGATCTACGCAGTTGGGATATGATGACATGTGTCCACCAAGTCGGCGAGCCTGACCACCAGATCCTGTAAGTCGCCTCTTACGACAAGCATGGGTTAATGAACATCAATATTCTAACCCGGACCTTCATGGGTCTTATAGACTCAGAATGTGTGTGAATAGATATCATTAGGTCTGTGAATCTGCAGTTCAATGTTAACATCTATGCCAGACTGACTCACTAGTGTCTGAGTTTGTTGTACAGGATTACCTTCATGTGCTTGACTATTTTAGCCAGGACACCAAACTTGAACTGCGAACTGCCTTGTGCCGTCTTGTAGTCCAGGGGTGCTGCCTCTGTGTAGAGAAACAACAATGTTTAGTAGGGCGGCCAGGAGAGCTGCCTCTGTGTAGAGAAACAACAGTGTTTAGTAGGGTGGCCAGGAGAGCTGCCTTTGTGTAGAGAAACAACAATGTTAAGTAGGGTGGCCAGGAGAGCTGCCTTTGTGTAGGGGAACAACAGTGTTTAGTAGGGTGGCCAGGAGAGCTGCCTTTGTGTAGGGGAACAACAGTGTTTAGTAGGGTGGCCAGGAGAGCTGCCTCTGTGTGGAGGAACAACAGTGTTTAGTAGGGCGGCCAGGAGAGCTGCCTCTGTGTGGAGAAACAACAATGTTTAGTAGGGCGGCCAGGAGAGCTGCCTCTGTGTAGAGAAACAACAATGTTTAGTAGGGCGGCCAGGAGAGCTGCCTCTGTGTAGGGGAACAACAGTGTTTAGTAGGGTGGCCAGGAGAGCTGCCTCTGTGTGGAGAAACAACAATGTTTAGTAGGGTGGTAAAGAGAGCTGCCTCTGTGTGGAGGAACAACAGTGTTTAGCAGGGCGGCCAGGAGAGCTGCCTCTGTGTAGGGGAACAACAGTGTTTAGTAGGGCGGCCAGGAGAGCTGCCTCTGTGTAGAGAAACAACAATGTTTAGTAGGGCGGACAGGAGAGCTGCCTCTGTGTAGGGGAACAACAGTGTTTAGTAGGGCGGCCAGGAGAGCTGCCTCTGTGTAGAGAAACAACAATGTTTAGTAGGGCGGCCAGGAGAGCTGCCTCTGTGTAGGGGAACAACAATGTTTAGTAGGGCGGCCAGGAGAGCTGCCTCTGTGTGGAGGAACAACAATGTTTAGTAGGGCAGCCAGGAGAGCTGCCTCTGTGTAGGGGAACAACAATGTTTAGTAGGACAGCCAGGGGAGCTGCCTCTGTGTAGAGAAACAACAGTGTTTAGTAGGGCGGCCAGGAGAGCTGCCTCTGTGTAGAGAAACAACAATGTTTAGTAGGGCGGCCAGGAGAGCTGCCTCTGTGTAGGGGAACAACAGTGTTTAGTAGGGTGGCCAGGAGAGCTGCCTCTGTGTAGAGAAACAACAGTGTTTAGTAGGGCGGCCAGGAGAGCTGCCTCTGTGTAGGGGAACAACAATGTTTAGTAGGACAGCCAGGGGAGCTGCCTCTGTGTAGAGAAACAACAGTGTTTAGTAGGGCGGCCAGGAGAGCTGCCTCTGTGTAGAGAAACAACAATGTTTAGTAGGGCGGCCAGGAGAGCTGCCTCTGTGTAGGGGAACAACAGTGTTTAGTAGGGTGGCCAGGAGAGCTGCCTCTGTGTAGAGAAACAACAGTGTTTAGTAGGGCGGCCAGGAGAGCTGCCTCTGTGTAGAGAAACAACAGTGTTTAGTAGGGCGGCCAGGAGAGCTGCCTCTGTGTGGAGGAACAACAATGTTTAGTAGGACAGCCAGGGGAGCTGCCTCTGTTTAGGGGAACAACAATGTTTAGTAGGGTGGCCTGGAGAGCTGCCTCTGTGTAGGGGAACAACAGTGTTTAGTAGGGCGGCCAGGAGAGCTGCCTCTGTGTAGGGGAACAACAGTGTTTAGTAGGGCGGCCAGGAGAGCTGCCTCTGTGTAGGGGAACAATGTTTAGTAGGGCGGCCAGGAGAACTGCCTCTGTGTAGGGGAACAACAGTGTTTAGTAGGGCGGCAATGACTTCTGCAGCAGGGTTTTACATGACACAGAAATGTGTATCCAATATGCATTAATGTACGGAATGGATGCAGAAAAATACAAATACTGTGTCACCTTGGATGCACAATAATGACCACTGTTCAAAACTTGTGACATGAAATATGAAATTGTTGTAATTATGTAATTTTCTGAGTAAAATTGATATTTTATACTTATCCTGACTCATGCTCTTTTGCTTGTCTTCTTCTTCTTGCGAACATAGTGGAACACTTGTATCTCCCTAATTGAAGCTCCCTTCAATGTAAAATCACTAATTAGTACTCACCAAGAGTTGCCTCCCTTTGCCTTTGCACGGGAAAGGCGGCGCCACCTTCTGGCCTCATGCTTCACTCTCTCCTGATATAGCGAGCCCAACACTTGAATTTACAGGGAAATCCAAAGTGTTATGTGGGGAGGATGGGAGGGCTTACCTCATGAGTCAGGATAAGTATAAAATATCAATTTTACTCAGAAAATTACATATTTTTCCTTATCCTGACTCATGCTCTTTTGCTTGTAGAATCCTACGGAAACGGAGGTGGGAAAGACCAGAATACTTTGGATTTATACAATTAATTAGTGATTTATATATATATATCTGTAATAACCCCCTTAACGGGAACTTTATAATGGCACTGAATTAGGATAATTCCTGCTACTATAAACCATAAGTTTATACGCTGCCATAGATGGGGTATTACAATAATAATATACTATGATAATAGCAATACAAGTATAAAAAGCGACTCCAACATGGAGAAGCTACCCAACTGTACATAACCATCAGTACTGGGCTTAAGGCTAAGTAGACTTAAGCTAGGTATATAAATAGCCCTAAAACTCCGTAGAGTTATAAGCTAGATAATACTGGTATGAATTATACATAATAATCTCGTAAGACTATGTCTTATCGTCTACGAGGGACTGTCAACTGCTGTGCGAGGACCATGGGACCGAAATGGTGAATACCTGAGACGTCCTCGGTGGTGATATCTCTCAGATAGTGATTAGCAAACACCATGTCGGATTTCCAAAAGCAGCCCTCCATGATGGTATTTAATGAACAGTTACCATGTAGAGCGAGTGTGGAAGCCAATGCTCTGATCTCATGGGGATTAGATGCTCTTGGAGGGTCGAGTCCTGCAGCCTTGTAGGCGCGAAGTATGGCAGTTCTTATCCATATAGATATGGTGGTACGAGAGACTTCGGTCTGAGTCGTTGCCGATAAAGGGATGAATAACCGTTTGAGATGTCGTCGACTCGTTTTGGAACGTCGTAGATAGATTTTGAGAGCTCTGACTGGGCATAGAGATAGGTCCAGCGTTATCTTGAGATCCGAGAATCGAGGAGAGTGCAGGAATATGGAATAATCTGTCTGGTTGACCTGACAATTGATTTTTGGCGATGAAATCCCATCGTAGTCCCAAGTGCACTGTGTTTTGATTGTCATCAAACTGTATCCTCTCATAATCTAGTGCGTGAATTTCTGACATCCTGGCTGCCGTCGCTAGAGATAACAGGAACAAGGTTTTCTGTGAGAGAAATTCAAAGGTTGTTGATTCCAACGGTTCATAAGCCTCACTTGTGAGGTGTTGGAGCACTATATTTAGATCCCAAGCTGGAGCGCGGAACTTCCGTTTCTGATCTTCCAATCGGAATGAACGTAGTAAGGCCAGTAACTTTGGCGTCTTGGTTAGCTTGACACCCGTTCTCATAGTTATCACAGAACTAAGAGCGGCAAGATATGTTGACAATGTCGAGCCTTTTAAATGTTTATTGTGGCGTAGGTAACACAGATAATCAGCCACTTGTGGATGTGTAGCATTTCTCGCTGTAAATCCCTTTTTTGCTGCGTAATTTTCAGAACTGAGCCACTTGTCGTCGTACAAGTTACGTGTAGAATAGCGTAAGGCAAGCGTGACTGCTTTTGCCGCTCTGGTTGAATAACCTCTCTTGTTTAAACACACTTTAATACAGTCCATACGTGAAGTTGGAATACTTCTGGGCTTCCGTGCACCTGTTTGGTGTGAGGATGTACTAATAGATTCGAGCGCGCTTTGGTAGCTCTAGTGTTGGTTGTCCGATTTCTTGAATTAGAATGGGAAACCACGTTCTGGCTGGCCAGTAGGGCATGACCAAAGTCAGTTGGAGGCTCTGTGTTTGTCTGATTTTCTGTAACACTTTAGGGATTAGTGCTATCCCAGGATATGCTTAGAGCGTCCGTTGCCCACGCTCGTGGATCCGGGACTGGTGATACGAATGTCGTTAGCTGATTGTTGAAGCGAGTGGCGAATAGATCTACTAGAGGAGCTCCTATTTGCTTGATAATCTGTGCAAAAATTTCTGTATGGAGCATCCATTCTGTCGGTGACGGTAGATGTGGCCGAGAGAGTGCGTCTGCTAGTACATTCTTGGCTCCGGGAATGTGACATGCTCTGACATGTAAGTTGAGATCGTCGATTAGATCGAACAGTTGAAAGCATAAAGTCAATAGGTTCAGTGATCTCGTTGAGCCTTGTTTGTTCACATAAAACGCCACTGTTGAGTTGTCGGTATGAATCAGATGCGCCTTTTTGCAGAATGGTGCTCCAATGAAGTATGGCGTTGATTACCGCTTTCATCGCTAACATGTTTATATGGAGCTTGCTTTCTTGCTGATTCCATAACCCTGAAGCCGTCCGGTTGGCGAGATGAGCTCCCCAACCTTGGAGCGACGCGTCTACATAGAGATGGGTTTTGAATTCCGGCTCTGTTAAATAAATGCCTTCCCAGACATTCGACCTCCTGGTCCACCATAGTAGATGAGGTCTGAGGTGTTTCGGTAGACTGAATGGTTGTAGGTCGTCGAGATGAGCATTGATGAAGACCTGTAACGGACGTAACTTTAGTCTGCCTCTGACTGTCATGTCTTGGGCTGACGTGAGGAGACCCAACAGACTCTGCCAATGTCGTAGTGGTAACGGAGAGAGTAGGGATAGAGGAATGGTCTGTTGGATCTTGAGCCATCGGTCTTCTGGTACGACGATACGGTTGAGAGTCGTGATAAATCGAATGCCTAGAAATTGCAGATCTTGCGAGGGTACTAGGTCCGACTTGAGTAAATTTACTAACCATCCTAGCTGTGTTAGTAGCTTGATGATGTAGTTTAACTGTAGTTTGAGACGCTGTGGATCTTGATCTACTTGTATCCCGTCGTCGAGGTAGAACGCACTGCGTAGCCCTAGACGATGTAGGTAAGTGACGATAGGTTTGTTACTCTTGTGAATAACCAGGGGGCCGATGATATTCCGAATGGGAGTACTTTCCATTGGTAATGCAGCCCGTCTAG